GGTCACATCTTCCATATCTTCCACAGCGATCTGAGTTCCAAGCCACTGCAGCACGTAGCCAATCCAGTCCATCACTTCTATTCTCCTGCCAGTGGGGAGCATCTATGTATTTGAATGCCTGTTCTCAGGGAGGCCGCGCCTTGACCCAAAGGCACATCGCTTCGGCCAAAGACAAAACGTCATCTCTTTCTAAAGCCGCAGCCGCCCAGTCTGTTGCTGACATTTCATGGGTGCTGGCCTCAACACTTGTCAGTGTTTACATGCGTACACTGAATCTTGACACGATGGCTGACTGCTTCAAAAATCACACACCGGCCAGAGGCGTTCCTGGCTTCAATGCCACAGTGGCGTCGGGTCACCTGCACTTGCTTCGAGTCAAACAGGTCATAGTCATTTAGTCCTGCAGCTCTGGACATCTTTAGAGTTCAGAACCTAAGAGAATCAACATGTCATGGGCAAGGGAATCCTGCAAAATATGGCTATGTGCTTAGTGACAGAACCTGGAACTGCTTCAATTTGTTCCTCCTCAAGAGCTTCAGGAACTCCGCTGTCATCTGCTCCAAGTGAACGGCTTGATTCAGCTTGATGGCTCCCCTCCTGGAAGGTCAATGCCCATGACCTCCAACCCAACAGCTCGAGCGCAGCCATCGACAGCTGTGACCAAGGCGAACAGCGCACCAGCACGGCTCCAGTGACGCGGGAGCCACCTGCGACTTGCCAAGTCCTGGTGAACCGCATCAAAACAGGTACAACAACCCAGCAACATCAGCAACCCAGTCGTGCCTAGTCAAACATATGACTAGCCACATCACATCCCTTCTGTCCCCTCTGCTGACACTACTTTACGTCGAATCGATTCGAAGTGGTCAGTGTGAGTAGGGCCAAGGGCCAGCCGTGTCCTCCACAGGTGAGTAGCGCATAGAGAAGGTGCAAGCCAAAACAGACCCTGGCTTCAAAATGCCCGACTTGAATGCGGCCTGGCGGCTGCTTCCAAGACTCAATGCAACAAAAGAAATGGAGTACCGAATCTGTCGAACAGCTGCCACAAGGCTACCTCAAGAAAGGCACTGCTGAGCAATGGGCTTCTCCGCATGGAAGGTATGGAAAGCAAATGGCACTGGGCCGCTTGTCTGGCCCGGTGGTTTCATACCCATCCGAAGGAACTTCAACGGTTCAAACGATGATCTAAAGTCCTTTAAGCTCTTGTACAGTGACATGCCGAGACATTTGTCGGAGATGGGAATCGGAAAAGGTGTCACTAAAGCAAAAACCCACGGCCTCAATATGGCTGGCGCGGGATGCAAAGCTCCCTGTGTGATCCAAGTACAGTAGCCGCACCGCGCCAAGGCTTGAAAGATCCAACCGCAGAAAGTCCTGGCGAGAAAACATGCAAAAAGGAAAACGAAACAACGAAGGGACCACTTCCCGTCCTCAATGCGGCCGCACCAACTGGTACACCACTCCTCCAAGGCTTTCTGTGTCAATGGTGCCACGTTGGGCGCCAGGGAACGGATCTTCCGCTGCTGCAGGGCTCGGCAGGTGTTTCCCTCGCAGCCATCCAGGATCAGGGCAATGTCCTAGGAGAAGACGGGTTCTGCTCTTTCAATCTTCGCATCATTGTGGCATATTGTGCAGCTGGGCACACGCTGACAGTCACTTTCTGCAAGTGTACATACAGACATTTTTCTAATGTACGTACAGTTGGCCGTTAAATTGATTCATGTGTGCATGTGTGTCCATAGATGTATATATATATATATTGTTGTACAGTATGCAAATGTGTGTGTGTGTGGGTGGGCCAGTGCCTTGGACTGTGCCTCGGCCGCAATTGCAACATAAGTGGCGGACCCACATTTGCAGGAAGATGCTGCCTTTCAGCTGCTGTTTGCTTGCGTCTCAGTGGTGCCGGCCCAAACCCCAAAAAGCATCAAAAAGCGTCACTTGCCAAATGCTCGTGGTACCAATCATTTACCAATCTTTTGCTTGGGGCGAGAAGAGTTGAGCGGCTCGAAGTTTATGCAAACATCTCGATGCTGCCATGAAGCGCTGCCACTAGACATTTGTTCAATGAATGTCCACTGTAATCACCACAACTATCCACAACTGATTTCATAGCAACGCCCCGCCTCCACGACAAGCGCATTCAGGCGATGCTTCGTCTTAGCTGCACGCAGTGCACGAGGCCAACCTACTTTTTTCAGAGTTTGTGCGGTTGGTTGGGGGAGAGCTGCAGATCTCAAACGCTACATACGGTCCAAAAGTATCTCTCTTGTCAAGGACTTTATCTTTCCAAGCTGAACATGTCTCCTCTACACAGGTGACTGAGCCAGCCTTCCCATTGCTTGAACTTCTACTATCTTCTACTGAGGAATGCAAGGATCGAAGTCTGCTGTATGTCAAATCTACTCTCCCACTGCCTTGAGTTTTGTCTCTTCGATTGAAACGATCAGCCTCAAGCGAGTGCTGTCCAGTGTGCACTGGCAAGCAGGAGCCACCAACCATGCCTACTTTCTGGGATCTATATACTACGCCTTTCTTCCAAGCCAGAAGGAAAAAACTGCGAAGTCTATTCTTCGCCAGGCATAGGTCCAACAACCCTCCAAGAATGGTTGCCTGCCTCTTGTCCCAACAAGGGCTCAAGACTGGACGACAAAACACTGTTCGATTCCGCGCTTCGATTTGACAGGCCCCCAACCCGCGGCAGTGCGGATCTTTGAGGTGCTTGGCGCTCATCACGCGCAGCCCAAGCACGAAGCTCCGTGAGATACCTAGCACGCAAAAAAGTCATTGATTGGCTTGACTCTGGTGAGATCTCAAAGAAAAGAACTCAGAAAAGGTAAAGATGTTGAGAGGGACAGGTATCCTTCTTATCTCAGCCCCAAGGAAGTTGCAGAGTCAGTCTTCGCCAAGGCACACCGACTCCAGTGACAAGGCTCTTCGCTGCCAAGCTTTGGTGGGTGCGCAAGAGCCAAGGCTTCCGCGAGGTGGCACCCACTGAACAGCAGTTCCTGAAGTGCTGGAGGCACCCATTGGTAGGGGTAAAGTATGACCATTGGCAACGCTCTGTCCAGGTCTTCTTCGCAAGTGTTCTGCGTGAATCCGTTTGCACTCGCCTTCCTCAGCCTCGAACAAGGGTTGCCCATCCACATCATTCAGCGTCACGTTCAACCCCCATGGATGAAGCAAGCAAAGCCAGTTGCCTAAGCCACAAATGCCACAAAGACTGTTTTGCTTGTGGTTGCGTCACTGTCTGACAAGCGATGTTCCCCCCCCGCTCCAGTTTCACCAACCAAGTGTCCAACACGAAAAGCCACGAAGCGCTTCTTCGGCTTAAGGACAAAGGGAAGCCTGCAGCCGCTGCTGCACTTGGTCGCCACTCTGGGCTGCCAGCACTGAACTCCGAAACAGGAAACCAAAGCCCGAAACAGGCAATCAGTCAGCCAGCAATCGTTGAAAAAGGCCTCGAAGTCATGAAAGGAATGTCCTTCAAATTCGGTTGAGAACACTCTGCACTTTCATGCCAATGCCTTGTCTTGGGCCCAACCCGACCGCTGCAACCAACAGGATTTCCAGCAACAGAGTGCCACACCTGCGATGAGGTTCTGCACAATGAGGTACACAACATCAAGCTAAAGAGACGAATTGCAAAAAGAAAACAAACCCGTGTCAAAATCACCCATGGAGGGGCGCACAATCGAGTAGGCACGCGGAGGCCTAGGACCCTCACAACAGAACAACCTCCAGCATGATCAACCCTCTAACCGCGCTTGGCAGGCCTGGACACATGCAGGTGCCAGAATGGACGCGAAGCCAAGAAACGTCCAGGAACGACGTGTTTCATGTGGACGCATGCCAACATCCGTTCTCACAAGGCATGGCCACCGGGCTGCAGTGCCACAGGCTGTGACATGACAAGAACTCTATGGCTTTCTTCGGCATTTAGGCCCTGCTCAGACTCAAGTGCCTGAGCTTTGTATGATTTGAGTATTTAGCGAGATGAACTGGCCTGAAGGGCCAGAAGATTGTCGCTTCAGGAGAGCGTACATGCGGCCTTGTGACATGCCAAGATCTAGGCTGTCAATCGTTACTGAAGCCAAATGACAAAATACGTAAATAACCTGGACGCTATCCAACCATTCACCTTCGCTTAACCGCTTAACCCGTCAGTAAACGTATTTTGGGTCTTGCAAGTGCATCACTCACCTGCCCACGCGGATCATGGAACACCGGCAACATGATTCAGTGAGGAAATGAAAAATCATTAGAATGAGAAAAAGCTACTAGCAACTAGTGCATCGCTACTAGTACCAAGGGCATTACTACTAGTATGTAGCGCGAAGCTACTAGTAACTAGCGATGCACTTGTTCTTAGTAGCGACCATGTTGTATCCAAATGGATCGTTTCTGCAGTTTCCGGAGACTTTTTACCGTGCGACAAACAGGTCTTGCCGATGCCATCCCACGCGTCGAAGCAAAGCCTTGCAGCATGGGGTTGGCAAAAAAAATGGAAAGCAACTTTAGAAGAAAAAGCTGCTTCACACAGAAAACGACAGAAACACTAACCCGAGTCACACCGCCACTCCTACATTTGCTCCTTCACTTCTCACCGGAAAAAGCTCAAAGGACAAGTAGCCAGGACAATTCCAAGTTGCCAAGGTGATGCTAGCTGCATGCATGCGAGCTGCACCTGAGAACACTGCACTCCGCGCGCTTTTCACATTTCAGTCTGTTGCTATATGGAAACTACTTCAGTGGTCGAAGTGTAGTTATATTCCAATGCCAAGAGGTCAGCAGTCGGACCCTAGGCAATTCGAGAATCATCCAAAAACATCCACAAATGGAAAAGGTTCCTGTCAGACTCCAACGTGACAAAAGCAATGATGCAGACCGACGCTAAACCCACCAAATTGAATCCTTTGAACCCTTTTGCCTTTAATTGCTGTGCGGTCACGGTTGGGACTCTCGCCTTGCGGAGCCTTCTGTACCACATGAATTAAGACTCACTGCAGCTTGCCATTGAGGAGATCCACCGCCTTCTGAGCTTCCCTGTAGCGGTTCTGAAGCTTCTTGTTCCGATTCTTCTCACGGTCCACCAGTTCCTGTAACTCCTCGACACGGGTCTGGATGGCCTTCTCCTCTCTGCACCTCAAGGTCTCAAAGACCTCCGTTTCAATGGCTACCGTCTCTCGCTCCTCCGAGAGCTTCCGGATGTGCTGCAAAGTCTGTCTGGACTTTGTGGTATAACCTCCCAGCAATCTTTCCATCTTTTCCTCTAGCTTCTTCACCCTCTTCAGCTCTTTCTGTTGATTGGCATCCAGCATCTCAAACTGGTGCTTGGCCGCCTCGGTGCGCTCCTTCTTCCCCATGACCCTGGAATCCATGAAGCGCTTGGCCGATGGCAAAAACACAAATTGCTTCACCAGACCCTCTTCGAAGGCGGCCTGAACAGCTGCTTCTGCACTGATATCACCTCCTGAAGCCTGAGAGAAGGCATGAAGCTCCTCCTCAAGCATCGCAGCAGCTGACTGTAGCTCTTCCAAGCTTACATCCATCTCTGCGGGTGCCTTCTTTGGAGGTTTGGCACCCTTCACAGGGAACAGAACCGCATCACGCGTGATCATGTTCGCCATCTCCTCGTGGAGCATCCCTTCAGCCTGTTGCAACAAGTGCTGCGGGCCTGACAAAGCCTCACCAGTCGCCTGTGATGCGGAGCTCTCAAAAATCATCATCGACGTCTGGACTGGTCGAGGCAAACCCATCTTCACCGGCTGACTTTGCTTCTGCCGCTCAATCTCTAAACGTCGAAGCTCTTCCTTCTCACGACGCTTGTCGGCATCGGCTTGGTCCTCCTCCAAAGGAGCTTGTGTATCGGCCTCCTCTTCCATGAGTTCAGGCATGGAGATCTCTACCTCATTCATTGGGGCTGGCAAGGTTCCCAAGGCTGCTTGCATCTGCATCCGCTGGTTGGCCTTCCGGAGCTTCTCGGGCATCTGGTCAAGCTCTTCCTGTGCAGAAAGCTTAGTACAGAGTTCAGTGCAAACACCCAAAGCCTTGCAAACATCAAGAATTGCTGGGTTTCATGCATACTGTAAATAATCATGCATGCATGTATAAGGGCAGGCCTGCAGACCATGAGAACCGAACTGAAACACACCTCCCCTAGTCCAGTTGGGATTGAGCCACTTCAAGAAACCTTGGACTGATGCTAAGTCGGTCAAGTTATGCATGAAGAAAATCATCGCACTCCTGGTTCAAGGCCAAGCCATCACGCAGGGACTTTGGAGTTGCCCCTGGCCCCGGGGTTGAACCCGGCCCGGGTGTAGCGCCACCTCCTCTCAAGTGAGGAGTTGCGTTCAGCAGGGGGTTGGGCGTGAGTGGTCCTGGCGTCGCACCGGGCGTGGCACCTGGAGTTGCTCCGGGTGTGGCACCGCCAGCGCCCGGCTCAGGTCGGGGCGTCACACCTGCTTGCACCGACGCTTCCAGCAGCACTGGATCTGGACGTCTTGGTGTCCTCACTGGTGTTGAGCCAGGTGTGTCACCATAGCTCTGGACAAGCCCTGCAGTGGAGCTATCTGCACTCTCCGCCTGCAAAGCAGCCGCATCAGCTCCCATCTTCACAATGGCTTCCAACTCCTCATCATTGAGCTGTGGGGCTGGTAGGTTCAGCGCGGTGCGCTTGCGCAACTGCTGAGGGTCATTCAGCTTGTTGATCATTTCGATCGCCTCTGGCAGATTCTCGTCCTTGAGGCGCTTCAACTTGCGCTCATCATCCTTGCGACGGCGCTTTTCATCATCCAAACGGCTGCGATTCTCAATGGCCTGAAGCCGGACATTGGCCAAACCCATGGACACCCTGGGCGTCTCTTCTGGGCCAACCTCATGGAAGCCGACTGGTGGCTGCGCCTCAAAGGGCACCTCCTCCCCGTAGTCAATAAACTTCCGGGATTTGTACCTCCTGGCTGTGGAAATGCCTGCAGCTTTCAACTCACGCCGCTTCTGCAGCGCTGCCAAGCGCCTTGCCTCTTCAAGCTGCTTCTCCCGGGCCTTTCGTTTGGCTTTCTTGCCGCGAGTGTTGGCCAACCTCGCACGTGCCTCGGACAACATCTCTTTCTCATCCTCATCCATATCGATCGGGTCGGCTCTAGCAGGCTTTGTCTCCGGATGTGGATCAATTTCACCCGGCTTCAAGCGCCGCGGATCGTTTTCATCCATTTCATCCTTCCCCTGGGCCTGATCAAGGAGCTTCTCATAGTGCTCCAGGCATTGATAAGCTGTGCGGCCCACAATCGGGGCGATGGTGCGCCACTGGGTGGGAAAAAGCTTCGCGAGGTGTAGCAGCTTCTCTTCCTCCTCACGGGTCCACTCAGTCTTTTTGACACTGGGATCGAGCCACTCATACCATCTGGACTTGCACTGCTTGGGGCTTTTTCGGGCCAATAGAGAGGCAACACGTGGCCAGTTGTTGAGGCCATATTTCATCACAGCCGCTTTGAGCACTTCATCCTCAGAGTTCTTCCACACACCACCTTTGATCAAAATCCTCATTTTTGCCCACGGCCGAGCAGCAAAAATTCGCTACCGCGTATTGCTCTCTGCCAGGAGTCGAAAGAAAAAGATGGGACCTTGCCTACTGAGCGCATGGTCTTGCTGTATGTCAAGCATCCTGACATAAATGTCGCACAAGAATTCGCTTCATATAATTATGTATGCCAAAAATTACGGCCGTGCAAATGTGGAACTCCTGTTGGGCCAAAAGGGTTGGCGGCAATGAATCCAACTATAAAATGAACAAAAAAAACATTACTTTCTTGCTAAATTGACATGCTGCAGCTACACGGTGAGAGGCCTCAAAACATGAACTCGGCTTCAGGCCCTCCACCACATGCCAACATGTCTGGGTGGAGCCTGAGTTGAAGGTCAGGTTGAAAGACTTCAGGCTTCAGGGTGGTCGGACTGTGATGGTCTCCACTTGCATGTCGTTTTGCGTACCCAAGGGGTTCCCTCAACAAAACAAGGTTTGCTTCGCTTGCAAATTGTAAGTGCACAGTGCACAGGCTTATCAACATGGATACCCTCGATGGCTTGAGTTTTTGATTGCAAACTCCACGCTACATCTTGCTCAACATGCTCCAAGTTACCATGAAGTCAGAACGCTTCTCTCCTCTGGCACCTGTCCAACTACGCAAAACCAATGCATCAAGCAGTCTCAAGCACACGGTCTCACACAAGAGCACCTCTCTGGCTTGTTTAGCTTATAATTTTCCGAAAGGACCGCATGACGGCAAGAACAACTCCTGAACTGTCCTGTTTCTGCTGCATAATCAAGTGTTGGCCAAATAGCGCTTACAGCAATTTGGCCAGTTTTAACATTTCGATTGCCAAGTTGAAACACATAATGTGGATGTGCCAACCTGGCTGTAAAATCAACTTAGTGTGATTAACTCCTACTTGCCGGCTGGCACCGAAATGCACCGAATTCGAAAAACCCCATGGATCTTCTGGGATCGGTTGATCAAAAAAACTCATTCATCGGCATCCCATGCATTCCACACTTTACCAGTGCCCGCATCAGCGAGGCCCCAGCGGATGAGCCGGCCAACTTCTCCCACCTGCTGCAAACTGTCCATGGTGTTCCAGGATGCAACAAGGCCCGATGTGGGGTCAAAAATTAACGCTTGCAGCTGTGCATTGAACTCGTCAATGTTATGAATCTTACCCAGTATGAGCTCCTTGTCCTTTTCGGATGAAGCATTCATGCTGCGAACATCCAAGACTTCTAAGGTCTGAATAGTGGCCTTGGACAGAAGCTTCAGTGACTGAGTCATGCCCAACCGTTTGGCTTCTGCAATTTCCGCCACACACCAAGCACGGCGAAACAATTCAAACGATTTGTCCACTGCAATCACTTGCCTGCAAATTCCTGTTGTTGCGAGGTGGTACATCATGTCATCAAACTTGTTAATCTCTGAGGAACTGCTTCGGCCATCCGCATCAGAGATATTAACGCAACTGCAAGCACACACTGGATGCAGCTCATTTGTCAAGGGGTCCCGGTCATAAGGATTGCTGTGGCAAATGCTGGTATGTTGGTTCACCGCAAAAGCGCAAATCCAATATGTGTCGTCCAATCGACGGCTCTTGGCCAAGATCCCACACAAAAAGGCACAGTCTTCCTCCAGCAGCTGCGCGGCCATTTTGAAACTGCATTCCTGCAAAGCATCAGAGACAACAGCGGCCAGCATGTGTTTGAAACTGTTGCCCCAGTTGTGGGTCACCATGACTTGAGCCCTTTGAGCACCATCCCTGTTCAAGGCTGAGACTGCAAAGGCCAATTCCTCCTGGCTGGTGAGAGGGATGATCACCCTGCGGACCACATCCCTTGTCTTGTGATGTTTGGGTGTGTATGTCCAGTCAGGCATGGAAGGGAGGTGTTCCTGATAAAAAATGCAGAAGGCTGCGCAAAGTCATGCCCCGCAATGAGAGCTCTTCAATTTTTGCCTTCCAGGTGGGGCTCCAGGCTGTTTCCTTTTCTGGTGCTGCTCTGTTCTGACTGGGGCATGCCCAACAGGACAACTGGCGACCGGCTTGGTAAGATGTCTGGTGTACCTTCGGCAACCTGTGGCTGCCTGATAGGAGCAGTGCGGCGAGCGCATGCCCAAGGAAATCAAGAGCCTGAAGCAAGCTGATCGCATTTACTGCATCGTTGTCAACCATAACACCCAGATTTTCACATAGAACAAAGGGAACTACCACAATCGTGAGCACGAGGCTGAAAGAGACGCCAATCGCCTGTAGAGCGGCAAACCTTCGGGCTCGTCTCAACGACTTTGCAGCTGCTGGCACGTCTTCAAGCTCCGCCTCATACAAAACCCGACGCAAGTGAAGGAAGGACCTCGCCAGGGAGCCAGCCGCCACCATGCTTGTCACCACCTTGCACAGTGAAGTGAACATTGCGATTGCCAGGGCAGCACACAAGAGTTTGTCCCATATACGGCCACAAACCACATAGATTATGCCCATTCCAAAAAAGAACACTGACGTCACGCCGGCGCCCCAAGCTTGCACCCAAAGGAGCCTGCGAACGCAGCCACTGCAGTAGTTTTGATTCGAAGCCTGCTCTAAGAGATCCATTCGAGAAGCGATGAGCCTCTCCAACAGGAATGAGCCAATCAAATAAAGAAGACCCCTACACAATGCAAAACCCATGTGCCATGAGTGGTGGTTGCCAACTGGTATGAATCCATATCTGAATCCACAAGGGGCCAAGCTCATCGAGGCCAACATGGATTCAAACCAGAGACTAATGCTATGGCCACTTGCTGACCGCACATGAGCTGAAGCTCCGGCCCTTTTTGTCAAAAAAGCCGCCGCGCAACCACATCCAAGGCTCGCCAGCATCAGCAAACAAAAGCACCATCTACTCCTTTGCAATGAGATAGGTTGGTCCTGGTAGAGGTGGTCCTCAGGGTCATCCACAGGAAACAGCAGAGCTGTAGCTGTGGCATTCACTACAAAGACCACAAAGTACCAACCCGGCCGCCATTGGTGCTGAAGCTTCAGGAAGCTGTCGATTGGACTAGACGAGCTCCACGTTCCAAAGCTCTCTTTGGAACTTTCAGAGATTAAATTTGACATGCAGCAGGATTACAGCCAAAATGGCTTCAGTCACAAAAATCAGTGGAGTCCCCGCATGCCCCACTGGTGAGCAAACAGAAGCAAACATGTTCATACTTCCAACCATCTTGGCTTTCGGCCGGGCATGGCTAGCTTCAGCCCAAACTGAACATATCATATCTGTCTTGGTTGTTTCTGGACGTGCTGCTTTCAAGTGAATCACACCGCCACATGGACTCCGAAGGACATACCTGCCCTCCGCCTCCGCATCAGCTTGCCACAATATCCTGGGTGCACATTGATAGAAGAGATATCACTGCATCACAGTGTGCTGCAGAAGTTGGTCCAATTTGGCCGCGCAGTACGCATCTGCAACTGGCTTGCACGGCTTACATTGCCAACATCAACTAGAGTCTACTAGAGTTATGTGTATCTATGGTGCTTGTTGAGGGCGGACAATGGAGTTTCGGCAGCACGCACACCACATCAGAAAGCCGAAAAAAAAAATGAAAGGAAACTGGGCATCTAGTGATAGTGAGAACAAATACCTGAAGCGCGAGGACAGCTTAAACACTGTAGAATAATGCTGAACAACACGTCCGAGCGAGAAAAAAAGGTATCGTGATGTCATGTACACTGACTTGCTGCAAAGCATCAATTGGCTACTCCAAAGAACATGCTACACACTGGATCACACTGGGCCAAAATGATTGGGACATATTGGGACTACAAACGTAGAGGGCGAGCAACCTGTGCTGTCCAGGCAGAAGGTATGTAAAAGTGCTAAAGCATCAGTGGAGAAATGAACAAATGTATGAACTAAAAATGCTTGGCTTGACTCTTTGAATCTCTTTGATGCTCTTCTCAATCGTCTTCTGCACGCCATATGGGCAATCATCCGTGTCCAAACCGCATGCCATCGTCCTTTTTCGCCAGCATCAGACGAGTCGCTACAAGCTGACAGCTTTCGCCAGCGACTTGGGGGTCCGTATAGAGTCTTCAGCACCTGGACCTGCCCCACAATCCTGGCAGAAGATCCCACGTTATGCGTTGCATTCGAACGCCGATGCCTGAAGGTTGCATCACTCGGGCCAACAATCAACTGGTGTTGTGCGAGTCAATACTTACAATACAAACATCACCTGCAATCATGAGAAATTAGAACAGACGGCAGAACACGTGGCCACATACAAAGACCCAGAGGAGCTCAACAGTTGCATGAAAGTATTGGCTTCCCCTTATCTCTCTATCTGGAGCTGGAAACCGCCAAAAATTGAGCTTCTGGGTGATACCGACTACAAAAAAGAAGCTGCTTGGACGACATGAACCCTTGTCACCCATCGGCCGCAGGGTGGTGGTGCTGGCTGTTGCGGTCTTGGTGATCAAGGGCTTGCTATCCAAACAACCTCACTGCCAAAGATCCGATTCTCCCTGCCGTTGGGAACTTCTCCGTAATTTTGGTCTTGGTGCAAAACCGGTCACAAGGCTTGAAGATGCTTGAATCAGGCTAAAACGGCCATGTCTCAACCCGTGTCCAACATGCAGGGAGCCACAGCGTGCAGCGCAAATCAGTTGGGTTTGGCTGAGGCAGTGCATAGCCCCCAAAAACGGCCCCGGAAAAGGAGAGCCCCCGGGGTTGGCATGGCTGAGCCTGTGTTGGGGGTCGAGGGAGGGGCAGTTCAGCCACAGCCATCCCAAGAAATCAAAATTGTCTGCTGGCGATCAGTTGTTGGAAAACACCCCATGGTACGTTTGATAAGGCCAAGCTCTGCTGTGGGAAGTGGCCCAGAATAGTTGAGGTGTTACTTTTTGGAGTCAAGTGTTCTCCAACATTCACGAAAGCCAAAAAGGAATGAAGCCGACGTATGCGCGAGCAAGCCGACTGCGAGCGTGCTCTGGTGGTGGGACAGGTGTCTTGTGCTAGCACACCAGTCAGACTTGCTCATGCAGAGCTTGCACCAGTGGCATGCTCAAAGCACGGCAGTGTGCTCAGAGCACCCTGTTCTGCTTGTTCCTGAGTAATGCGGACACTGATTTGTGCTGCAAATGAAGAAAGGGCGTCATGAATGCAACTGCACAGAATCTGATGATGAGCTAGGCCCTTCACCACGTGGTGCGGGACATCAAGGCCTCTGTGCACACGCGGCAATGGCAGCAACACAAAATGATCACCAAGACTGCAAGACAATTGAAAGCCTGGGTAAAGCCTGATGGCACCCAGGAACACTTTTTGGATGGATCCTCTTCTTACCCAGAATACCACAGAGCGGGGCAGGGCTCCACGCGTTGCAGCAGGCACTGTGGCAGCCGCCGCTGCGTCTTTCTTCCTCAGGCCGACTGAGCAGCAAGCTCGTAAGAGAAAAACGGACCTCTCACATCAAAAAAGATCCTCACCACCATTACACAGCCAAAGGTACAAAATGTTATGTCACTACCGCGTTTTACCTTCGTTGGTTAGATCGTCACCTGCGACCGAAAGCATTGTATCTGAGCTGCGGAGGGCCAAGACGAGTTGGCACGGCAGTGAGGCCTGCAAAGAAAAGCTAAGTGCTTCCAAACATAAACAAGAAAACATCTTTAAAACTATTCTAGACTAGTTGCTACGAGTATTTTGCGGGAACACTTTCTTGCAGGTTGTTAGGGGTAGTGAAGGCCAGGAACGCAGCATATTGCCCACAGTTTTCTGTAGCAAAATCATGAGATGGAAAGCCAATCCCAACATCGGCGTGGTTCGAAGTGCCGACACCTCGCGAATCCCTGCCTCCCAGCTTGCTGAGAGCCAGAGGCTTTGGCTGGGGCACATCCTGGAGCCAAACTTGGGGAGAAGCTGCCATCTGCACCAAAGTCAGCTGCTGGGACCCCAGGGGTTTTAGTCCGTCTTGGATGGCCTATTCTTGAACCACAGCCACCGAAAGAAACGAAGGTATTCCACCCTTGAAGTGCAGACCAGCTGCTGCTGCCACACGAGTTCCAGAGTTCTGGGAGTTGGGAGCACCTTAGTTGACAAATGACTGTGCAGGTCTGCAGCCGAGATGTTCAACCTGCTACAGTATCACTCTTTACTTTCTCACCGCCCATCCATTGACCAGAACTTGACCAATCAAGCAAGTCCATGCCCTTGAACCAGCTAGGTTTCACAAACTGACCATTCGTTCCCTTTCATCGACAACTGGTCTTCCAGGGCTGTGATTGAACCTCTTTCTTCGGCAGCTTGACCAACACGCTCTGAGAGAAAGGCCCTTGTCGCCAGTTGCCTTGGAAAAGCGGCAAAGCTAAAACAGTGTGAAAGGCCGGAGTTTAGATGGATTTGGCTTGGCAAGTGTGGTTCCTGCCAAGCTTTCCGTAGTCAACTATCAATAGGAACTATACAACATCGCTTAATCTGAATCAATGGCATAGAGGAGATAGCAGGGAGTGGCATATCATAGCATATCATATCATAGGTATGTGTATGTGTATATATATATATATATTTATTTATTGATTATTGATTTTCTTTTTTGGTGTGTGTGTGTGTCTCTCTCTCTCTCTCTGTGTTTGTAACTAAGTACATCCCAGAACGACCGCAGCAAGCTGAGCCAGCTTCAAGCTGGCCTGCGGGTAGCCCTTTGTTGCCAAAGAGGGTTGGTCTGTCAGGTGAGACGTCAGAGATGTGAAAAGGTGTTGACCATCCTTGGGCCCTTGACGGCACAAGGCCTTTGGGCTGCTAAATTATAGCTGTGTGGAACTTCAATGTATAGGAGCATAGGTCAAGGGGGGCTTAAATGTTGCATTTCACCTCTCTTTAAGGTCGAGTCTAACTGGTCTATCTACTCTGTCAGAGGCTCGGCATGTCGCTGCATCGACTCAAGCACCAAGGCCTGGGAGCGTGTTCTGTTTCCACATGTCAAAAGCGGTCGGAGGCAGAAAATCTAGCTAAGCATCTCAGCAGGCAAGCATGGACAACCTATGAGGAAGGAATCCTCAAAAAAGCAGGTATAAAAACAAAACTAAAAAACTACTGGCTATCTATCTATCTATCTGTCATTTATGTCATATGTACCATGCGCACTAGTTACTAGAAAAAAGGTGTATATAGGGAAAAAAAAAAAGCGCTCAGGTCTGCAATGCCGTCCTCCAAGCGATGTGCAAGGCCACTGGAGCTAAAGCGGCGCTCACCAAAGTCCGGACTGGTCAGCGTGTGGATGGGCTTCACCTAGTTGAGCGGTTGATGAGAGAGAGAGAGAGAAAAAAAAAAGCATTACACTAGTCAAAACGAAAAAGCAGAAGGAAACGAGATTCAACGCAAACTACTGAGGCGTTTTTTGTGAGACATGTACTGTATAGATCTAAACGATTGGCAACTATCGACTACCCTGCTCTCAGGAAAAACCTGAAGCTTTAAGCCAGCCGCCAGTCGTGAAGTGGAGCAAATGAAGCAGCTGTCCCATTGGTTCATCTCCGAAATGTTGGGACACTCCAGTTCAACGGGGATGCCATGTTCTTGGGCAACTTCCAGCACCACCTTCCTGACAGTACCGGATAGCACACGGTCATCCGGAGCTGTGTACAAGGTGCCGTTTCGCTCAGCAAAAAAGTTGGTCTGCAGCCCCTCTGTAATTTTGCCGCGCTCGTCATGCATGATCACCTCATTGACCCCAGCTTGTGATTGAATCTCTTCAAGGTGCTGGCGATCATTGACCCACTGCACATCTTTCACAGTAGGATTGCTTCTCTCAGCTTGGCGTGCTTCTACAGCTACCGTGGCTTCAACAAAAGGTAGGGCCTGGACAAAAGTGTAAACATCAAAGCCCTTGTCATTGGCTTCAGTCACCGTATCGCAAGTCAGCAAAACAGTTACCTGATACTCGCACGGGCCATCCTCCACGCCATGAAGGTAATCAAGAGCCGTGAGGCACTCACGCTTGAAAACCTCACAGCTGAGCATGTGTTCAAAACACCAACATTCTTTTGAAACCCAATGGCGGAGGCACATGAGTATAGTGGCCTGTCTTGTAGTCACTAGAGTGAACATGAGTCCTCGGGCCAGGACTGGGCCTCTGTGCGTCTAGAATGAAAATTTACCGCCAATGACCGCTAAACCATGCTAAACCAGTAAATAAATTAGGATTCAGCAGAATTTAGAGATTAAAAAAGATTGTTGTTGGGCCTTAATACAATTACAAAGGCCCAGACATGTTTGTTTCCTCCCTTTTCATTCACCAAATTATATTTGGAGGGCTCAAGCACCGAAAGCGCAGATGCATAAAGCGATGGCCTTCAGCACCGCCGGAGAATATAAAAGGAAAAAAAAAAGGTTCGCTGGAACTCACACTACAAACAAGCTTGGGTGGTTCGGCCCAAAAGCAATTGTGAGAACACTGCTGAACTGCAAGCCTTGTAGCTGCCTGAATTGCAGCTGGTTCCAAGAAAGCTAGTGCTTGTCGAAAACGTCCCTCCATCTCTGGTGTCTCCTCCAACTTGCGTTGCAGCACATCTTGAGCTGTGTCTGCCAGCCTCTCACGAATTCAGATCTACTATACAGCGTCTCTCCATATTGTGTACACAAACCGGTCAAGCTTGGAGGGAATGATGCGAAACGATCGCACTTGGCCTCTGGCAGTGCATGGAGAGCTCGAAAACAGAGTTTCTGGACACCGTCCGCGCAGTGGTATAAGCGCCAGAGTAGTTGTGCAGCAAGTCGTGCTTGCTGAGCCTACAGTCTTTCACAGAGTTCCTACTAACCATGTGACTGTAAACAACGACTTCAAAAAACTTATTTATACAACCTCACTGGCTCTGCGATTTGTTCATGTTGACTATATATATAAGACTTTCTGACAAGAGACCATGGGCTTGCTGCCCGCCCATTCCGCACAAGCACAGCAGGGATCGACGCAGACATTGGACCCGTGGATTTTGATGAGTTTTGACAAGAAGCCCTGCAGTCTTTCTTCCTCATGTTTCTCCCCTTCCAGACCTGCAAGAATTCCAAACCATTGTCAGTTGGCTCCCGCACGGTGTTCCAAACCATTCCAGACCCAGGTAAAACCTTTCAAACACCTTTTTGCTTTTTGTGCTTTTTGTCGTCTTATTGGCATCGTATTGTGTGTGTGGGGCCTAGCTTGTGGCCGTCACTCCTAGAGAGACTGGAGCGAAGCAGTTTTGAGCAAATCAGCTGCGGACACCTTCAGACATATCCATTCCAAGCGCGGCGGCCAGCAAGGCACACTTTGCTTCTACTCCGCCACTCTCAGTGATCAGGACTCCCCTTCAGGGTCACTGCCCAAGTCTGTAGTCAACTCCGCTTCTTGGGGTAAGCCTGGAACATTCGCCACGCGCTGTGTAGAGAAGCTCGCTCTTCCCTTCGGCCAGGCACCCGCGGCTCGCACAGTTGGCAATGTCGCAGAGAGCTCCGTGGCCTCCTGCGGCAAGGAAACACCGCCTGGTCAACTAGTAGCTGCTGGACAGCTACTACCTACTGGACACAGGATAGCTCACACTTGTTCAAGGAAGTTCCCCGGGGGGGGAGCTTCCTTGAAGACGCACTCGCACTAATGATGTGGTTCCTACATATATATATATATAGACATAGAGATTTGTTTAACCAAGAAGTGACCACAAACACCAAAGGGTGCCTTTCAGCTGGACGAGCTGAGGGCTTGGCCACCACGCCTTTTAGCCCGAACATGCAGGAAATTGTCAGGCACTCCTTGTGCTTCCTCACTCGCGGCATATTTAGTGAGCCATTTCAAACTAAACCTCAGTACTATTACTATAACTTGAGAGGATGGAGACACGAAAGGTAGGACAGCGGGAAGAGAAGAGAACGCGAGAGGCAGGAACAAAAATGCAATGTTCGACATGGTGATTTATCCCCTCGGAGGCGACCTTTCGTAAATATATGTTCATATGCACTCTAAATGTTCAAACATATGCTCTCGAAATGTTCAAAAAGATTCTTAGGAAAACAAACTTGCCCCATGGCTCAGATCATCGGTGAGCATTGAATCGGAACATCATAGGATTTGAACTATCCTGAAACCATAAGAGGCTCACGAAGACGCTCCCCAGGAGAGAATTGACGTGCTTCACAAAACAAACTCTAGGTATGTATCCCCTCGGGGAACACCTTTCGTGATTAGAATTTCATATTCACTCTTTCTGAATGTTCAAGAGGGTTTCAACTATCCTGAAATCATGAGAGGCTCACGAAGACGTTCTCCAGGAGAGAATTGATTTTAGAGGGGGGGAGGGGGGGGGGGTCTGTATTGAAAAATCAATTCCAAGGGGGCGGGGCGGGGGGGGGCTGTATTGAAAAATCAATTCGAAGGGGGGGGGGGGGGGGGGGGTCTGAATTGAGCGATCAATTATTAGACCCGGACGTCCCAACACTTGCTTCGCAAGACAAACTCAAGGTATCCCCTAAAGTGCTACCTTTCGTGATTATATATACACCTGGTTTCCCTTGTAGCCTCAAAACCAATCAGGGACCGCGTGTCCTCCCAGCAGGCACTTCGCCGCAGCATGCAGGTACATCCCATTTACCACCTCTTCGGTGACCAAACCACCGCCCAGTTGTTCCAGATTCCAAAGAAACGTCTGATCGGACGTTGCCTCTGTGAACATGTCTTGCATGGAGAGGTTGTGATACCCAGGAACAATCTCCGCCAAGTGCTTGCATGACTCTTCCGAGACTTCTTCCAAATAGGTGAAATTCTGCACAGTTGCTGCCCGGTCCAAGGAGTACCAGCCATTCACGAAGCAGTACAAATCATCCAAGGGATAAAAGTGATCGCGGATTGTGAGCGACCGATCATCGAACAACTTCAGGGTATATGGTGTTGCTTGTGGTTCATTAAGAAAGTCATACCTGTGCAAAGCCGACCAAGTTGCCACACCCAAAGAAGAACAAATAAATAAAGAAAAACCTCAAAAACAAGACATGCAAAACAAAAGAAAAAACACGACAAAGCCTTAAAGCAAATGCCACTGAAAGCAAGATGCTCAGCTACAAAAGTGCTGGTATTTTGTGTCAGGCGGCTGACGGCGCAATTGCTGAGCCACGGGGCCACGGAGCCAAAAACGCACCAGCCATCACCGCCATAGGTCTCTGCAACTTGCCGAATTGGACGGGACAAGTCCTCCACATTCAAAGGCTGACTCGGGTCCCCTTGCTTATGTATTTAAGGTACCGTATGTGATGTTAGGGCATGCGTTTAAGCTTAAGGCATGCGGCTGTGGTGAGCTTTCGTGCAGAACTCTTGGTCGGGTGCCCCTGCATCAAGTGCCACGTCCTGAATGGGCAATTGGCTCACACAAATGCCTGTCTCCTTTGGATCAATGTGCCGGTCTTGTCCCCCATTGTTTCCTCCCTTTCTACGCTCAACTCCCATTTGTAGGAGCTGGCATCCAGGGCTTGCCTGCACAGGGCACTTGACCTTTCACGCAGTGCAACCCAAAACTTGGCCTTCAAAAAAAGATTAAAAAAGCCATGTTGAAACACCCTGCACAAAAACATCAAATTGCTTCAAAAGGCGTTTCACCTGAAAGGACAGCTCAAGCATTTGTATCTTCCTCACCTCTTCATCTGCAAGGCATAGACCCAAAATTGCGAAGTGAAGCAAGCGAAGCACCATGTGGTTGAGAGGTTGCAACCGGCGCCATTCGCTAGAGCTTGATTGATATAAGGCGTCTATTCATCCACAAAACAAGTTCTGCGATAGGCGTGCAGGAAAACAAAGAGGGGTAGAGAGAGAGAGAGAGAAGAAAAACCAGCGGGGTATTTGCCTCTCCAGGACTACAATAGGGGAACAAATTTCAGGGCTTGTTTGCGAACATCATCGACTTGCTTCGTCCGCACTTGTTGCTGCTTGCTGAAGCGCAAGCAGAACTGAAGCGGTTCACATATCACGCCTTGCCTTCATGCCATGAGGGTGAATGAACCTGCCCAGTTTCCCCGTGATTCTGGTTTCTGAACCCTAGTTTCTGGACACTGGCCAGTTTCCGACCTTGACTTTGTTCATGCCGTGAGGGCAATCATGACCTGCAGGCCTTTTCCCGCAGCATCAGCAGCACTGTCACATGGCATCATCTTCACACGTTCTACTGTGCGGAGACTGAGGACAAGCCTTGGCACCATCTACACATGTGCTACTGATACTGCAAAACTGTCTATATACGCAGTTTCTTGAGCCTGCCAGTCCTTAAGAAAGGATCTGTGGGTGCTATTGGTGCTTGGCACGCAGCGGAAACATCTCCTACCGCCCTCCTACACAAGGAGAAACGAGCAGTTCATTGAGGTCGGTCTTTCCAAACCGATTCACATTCACCCCGGGCTGTGTAGAGGACTTCGTTATTTGGGCCAAGGCAGCCACGCTCTGCGCAACTGGCAAGGTCACAAACGGCCCCGCGATCTCCTCCTGCACATTTTGAGTTAGCATGCACAGGCAAGCGAAATCATGCAAACAGTAAAACACACAACCCAACAAAACTGACTTTGGAATGCCAAAACCTAAAACCTACTGCGGAACCAGCTTTGAACAGCCAAGTCCCCTCAATCGCCCAATGGCCACTAGTCCGTCCTCTGAGCAGGCACTTGGTCGCAGCGTGAAGGCGCATTCCGTTCACGACTTCTTCTGAGACAAAGCCACCACCCTCTCTAGCAAGAGCTTCCAGGAGTGCCTCATCGGACCGCGACTCCTTGTCGAAGTCATTGAGGGTGATGTTCTGATACCCAGGAACAATCTTCGCCAAGTGCTTGCATGACTCTTCCGAGACTTCTTCCAAATAGGTGAAATTCTGCACAGTTGCTGCCCGGTCCAAGGAGTACCAGCCATTCACGAAGCAGTACAAATCATCCAAGGGATAAAAGTGATCGCGGATTGTGAGCGACCGATCATCGAACAACTTCAGGGTATATGGTGTTGCTTGTGGTTCACTGACATAAGTCATGTATCCTGTCTCCGGCCTCGTTGTTCGACCCACTGGGCCCTTCCAAGTCAACCAAAAACAACGGCCGAAAGAGGTTTGGTTGACAAGGTCTTCACCTGTCAGAAAAATACATATATATATATACATATACATACCGTATGTATATATGCACATTCAAAAATGGGAAGTCGTCCAAGTTGTCCATTTGTAGTGGCGCTCTGCATGTCTAAGCGACACATAGGAGAAGCAACCATGGAAGGAAATGAACCGCCAATACATAAAGCAAGCCGACGCAGTAGATATATATATATTATATATATTATATATATAAATAAAGTCATATAAATATATGCTTTCGTGAGGTTCTATGCTCCGCACACGCTGTTTTAGCAATACAGCCCGTGCCTTTTGAGTAAATTAAGGCTTGCCTCGCCCAACGCAAAAAAAACTTGGCTAGAGTCGGGTCGGGGCCTGGGATGGTGGGAGCCGACAACTCCACGGAGTCTCTCTCACGCATAATTCCGCTAAAGCAGAGCACATGCCTTCGTGAGATTCTATGTTCCGCGCACGCTGTTTTAGCAATAATAGAGCCCGTGGCCTTTGAGTAAATTAAGGCTTGCCTCGCCCGACGCAAAACCTAGCGCAAAACTTTGCTTGGCTATCCCTTCTACACGTTCCTCCTCAGGCGCGAACGCGAACAGCAGATTTAACAGGCGCAGGGGCAGGTTTTGGTAGGGCCCATTCAAATAGGGCTTGCAAGCCACAATCCAAATAAATTCGGGCTGTAGACACGGATTGCCAGCGTCTTTTCGTGACCAATCCGTCAAGGGTTTCTCCTTTCCTGTAAGCTGTCGTGACTCCCCCTCAACGTAGCGAGTTATGGCACCAATCGGGGGAATCCAAGGCAGATGTCAAAGCAATTCTATTTTTAACCTCTATACTATACATTCCACAAGCAGGGATTTTTTCTTTGTACCCTTTGACGACGGGATGAAGATGACTGCACGATCACAACCTAAAGAGGCATCCTGGCACTTCCGGACAGGCAAAGGCGACAATAATCAAATGGGCAAAAAGTGGCCCCCCACGCAAAGCTGTACCCACCATAGCCAACAAAAGCCGAATAGAAAGGGATGTTGCTCGCAAAGGAAGTTCCACTTGGCTCCATGCCTTAACCAATTTCCATGACCAAGGGAGACGGGATTTGACCTGCAGTCGGTAAAACTGAATCGCAGACACAGAATAGTTTGCATGGCTTTCCCACAGAAATTTCATAAATTCTCCGACCACCTCATCAAAAATATTGAAGGGTTCAATAACAAAGTCATCATGCAGTTGGTGAAAGTGCATAAACTCACGAAAGGCCGAACGGTATCTATCCTCGGTCACCTGTGAAACAACCAGCTTTCGCAGCTTCCCAACCTTTTCTCTCTCATCTCGCCTCTGCTGTTTGGTACTTGGCATTTGGGCATTGCACCAAGGCGCTCTCCAGGGCCTTTTCATCTAACTGGCGAACATCCTCATTCCAGGGAACTTTCGGGTAGCAACCGCCTGCAATCCTTGTCTTTTTCGACGCAGACCGCACAATGGAAACCAACGCCAGACGCCAGCTCTCTGACTCCGTTTTTCCCGTCACTGATGGCTCCAAGACTTAAAGCCTCCTGCACTCGCACCATGGCTTTGTCGGGGCTCGTAGGTATGCCCCACCAAAAGTAGGCCAACCTGAGTCGTCGCTGCACCTCCGGCGGTTCTCTCGTCAACTCTTCAGCAACAGCTTGGTTCACCAAGCATACGGACCAACATGCTTCGTCCGACAGATCTAGAAAGTCGGCCTCTCTAGAAACCTCAGCAAGACTGCACTTTTCTCTCCAGGAGTCGGAACAGGGAGGACGACGAGGTCAAGTCCCCCCCCACCCCGGAGATCAAGAGGGTCTGACTGATCCTCCACCACTATCACCCTCTGAAAGGTTGCGGCGCCGGTGAGAGTATGTGTGAGGCAGCTGCCTCATGAAGAAGTTCGTCGACCTGAGATCAACGATGAATCTGAGGACAGGCCAAACGCCGTCTCCTTCCCGGGTTTTGAGACGCCAACAGCGCCGTTCAGCATCTTCAAGCTTCCGACCCCTGAGGCTCGGCCGACAAGCCGGACCAGCCCTCTATCAATCCATTATAGGGCAGCGGCCATTGCTCCTCAGCACACCGGACCCGTGGCCTGGTAGTCCTTGCGTCCTTGCGGGTCTTCGATGATGAGGTACTCTGGCCTTTGAATCTCATCCGCCATGCTTTCGGGAAGCACATCCACCAAGTTGACGACCCCACCATGATTCACCGAGGGCAGTCCTGGAAGAACTTGCTCAAAAAGACTGATGGGCTTTGCCTTGTCGATGGTTGCCCCGGTGTACGATACCCTCAACTCATCCAACTTCTGCTACCAGCTATATACCTTCCCACTTCCCACACTCGAGGGACTCCCTTCTCTCCTCGCTTCCTCCTGGGCAAGGGTTGCAGATGCCCCTGCTTGAGGCCCATCCGCATGATGCCAAGAGCCGCGCATAAAATTGATCCCTTTGACCAGCAGTCCATGCTATAAACACACGCCTTAATACCTGAGCGCCCTGGAGGCTTTGGCTGTGGTCTCAGCACGTCACCGCCAGTCTCCAGGGCCTTCTCTCACACACAGCGCTCTTGCTCCACCTCACGGAGTGCCATGACTGAGGCAACCGGTCACTCTCCCGTGGGGGCTGTATGTTCCGTTGAATCATTTGTGCAAAACTCGAGTCCAACGTGAAAATCTGCACCAGCAAATGACGGACAACCTGGACTGAGAAGCCGGAAGGCACGTCACATCGATGGCTTCAAACCAGCCCTCGGGCATCAGCCCTACCAGTTCCCTGAAACCTGGCGGGACTTCTGGAGGCTCCCTTTCGCCCCCTTCTTTCCCCCTTCTTTTCCCTTGAACCTTCTCCACCAAGGCTTCCCTGTCTTCCAAGACCTACTCCCCTCGGTCTTCCCTTTTTGCACTTTTTCTTGGCCTTGATCTTGATCGCCCGCCTGATCGCCGACAACTCCAGGGAATCTCTCTCACTCATAATTCCGCTAAAGCAGAGCACACACACACACATATATATATATATTATATTATATTTTTTAATGACTTATATCATATATAATATACATATATATATATATATCCTAATCCAGCGGAAAAACATGCCAGTGCAAACAAGAAACTGAGCCAGGAAATTGCTTATATTGTGCGATCGTCGGCTAACTGCACACTCGGCAGTCCAACCACCCAAGGCACCAAAAATGCACCAGCCATCCTCACCATACGCCTCTGTAAGTTGCCCGATTGGAGTGAACCAATCCTCCAAGCTCGGAAGGCCGGTCAAACCAAACGGGATTTGCAGGAATGGCCTCCAACCTAATAGCAATGGCATCCAAACTAATAGGAATGGCCTCCAACCTACTAGCGATGGCCTCCACTCTAAGAGCGATGGCCTCCACCATAAGGCGATGACTTGGTCATTCATCTGGTTGCCGTTAACTATGTAACTATGCCAACCCAACGAGTCATGGCAATGGTGGGATGTACAGCGCCGCAGCGGTGCACTCTCTGTGTGAATGGAATCGAACCCATAGAACCCAATCAGAAGGAAAGAGGTTTCTCTACTAGCAATTAGCTAGTAGGTTGGAGGCCATAACTACTAATCTACCAGTAGCTTCGTGCTACTAGAAGCCATACGTGCGGAACATCGCAACAATCTAATTGTCATGAAGACTCCCCATGGCTGTCCTGCTCTGACAAATGGCTTCGGCAAATACCTTTCTCCTTGTCGGCGACGATGCTTGTGCCGTGCTCAAGAGGAAGATGTTTGCGGAAACCAAGTCCTGTTTGCAGCAAGTGGCAGTTTTGGCCGGATGCCACCTCCTGCGCGGGGCCCAGTGAAAAATCTGGGCATCTTGGTCTCCGGATATCCCTAGCAACTGGCCAGCGAAGAAAATGTTTTTTGACGAGAGATGCGTCATGCACATATACCAGTACATATACCAAAAGCTTGAGACCAGCATCAGCAGCATATGCCTAAAAGCGGCACGGCATCATTTGACTTTGCAGTACAATTGCAAGAGGCTAGCGAAGACGGCAAATTGCCACAAATCACTTGAGATTGATCTCCCGAAAGCCCACCACAAAAATATCCAAAAAGAGTCACCCAAGTCTCATAAACAATCACCAATCACCACGAAACACTCACCACAAATATCCACAAATCAAATCACCCTGATGGAAAGGCCACCGAAGTCGCCACGCTTCAAACCCCATGGTGGCCATGGTGTCCCAGCTCTTCAATGACGCTTCCACCCAGCTATCCCGAAATAAACGACGCACCGCACCACTGCACACAAGCAAAGTCTGAACGGCTGGATGGCTTGTTCCTAGTAGCGATGCCCTTCGTTACTAGGGCTTCTTGCTCCTAGTAGCCAGGCCTCGTCTTCTGCAACCCCCAGGCCAACCAACAAGAGCCATCGAAGTACCATTTCCGGACATCGGTACGGCCACTGTCAACTGTCGAGCCAGAAGGTGCGTGTGCGGTTGGTATACGAAGACACCTTACCGAAAACACACGCAAAATCGAGCACGAACGTCGGAATCAGAGAATGAAACCCGCAGACATCCAGATCATCCAGCCATCCCTTCTATGGGCCTTGGATCCCTCAGGCTGCCTCCACCCACCAACCTGGTCATCCTTCACTAAAGCAGCTGCAAATGGCTTTGAACATGCGGATCGATGGCACCTGTCAGACTCTTCCCGTTTTATCCGCTCTCCACTCCACACGTCGGAGGCACGAGGTCATCCCCATGCGGTTCACACACGACGGAGGTGTGCGAGGCACGGCTCTTGACTTGGAAGTCTATTCCATTGGAGTCCTTTTTTACAGCCCGTGGGGGTAGGCCGCTAGGAGGAAGAGGTAGAAGAGAGGTAGCCAGAGATAGTGGCCCTGTTAGGTACAAAACACTTCTAGTGACTGGACGCAGGATAGCTCACGCATTAAGGATTTGGTTCCTAGATGTTGGGGGGAACTTAAGCTAAGAGCTATGGCCTCCACCCTTTTAAGAGCGATGGCCTCCAATCTAAGAGCAATGGCCTCCTCTGTCTATTCGATGAGGCCAGGCCACGAAGGGACTCAGGTCTAAGTGTAGTGAGACATAACAAAACTAACCGACCTTCCGCTGTGACAGGTTCAGCGATTGCCAGGTTTAAGGAATCGTGATTCATCTTGATGCCCTATGCGCGCACGTCTGGGCACTCGCCCAAAACGGCATAGAGGAGCTCTCCATCCGGTCCCAGGCATGTGGATGCTGCGCAATTGGCTATGTCGCATATCACTCCCGGAGATCCAGGCCCTTGTCCTGTGCAGGGTGCCAAGCAGAATTGAATACAGTACAACCCCGCTCCAGCGCCAGACTTGCTAAACCACCAAACGTCCTCCCAGCAAGCACTTGCTGGCAGCATGGAGGCGCATGCCATGGATCACTGACGCAGTTAAATTGCCGCTCGTCGAGCTGCTTTTCATAAGTTCCTGGCAGCAGAATAACATCCGCGCATATTCTTACAGAGTTTGTTCACAATTGCATCAAACTGTCCCAAATTCGGCCTCCCAAGCACCCAAAGGTCCTGGAACGATGCATTGTCCGCTTGCGTCTCCAAATGCAGATCATTGATTGAAATTCTATGGTACTCTGGCAGGCTTCTTTCTAAATCTGCACAGAAAGCCTTCGATACTTCCTCCAAAAACGTGAAGTTGTTCACAACTTGGCCCCGGGGCAAGGCAAGCCATCCATTCACAAAGCAGTCCACATCATCCAATGGCGAATGATGATCCCTCGTGGTCAGCGAACGCCCGTCCGGGAATCTGAAGGTAAAGCGTGTAGCCTCTGGCCTGGTGAGCACATCTTGGTAGATCGGCCACCAAGTATCAACAAAATTCCGCACAGTCTTTCTCTGCCGGCTGATGGCACACTGTCGAGCCCACTCTCCGAGAGAGCCAAAGAGACACCAACCATCGTCATCTTGCTCCGCGACAATCTCTTCGATTGGTCGTGTCATGTCCTGTGAACTGGTCTGAAGCTCAAAAAATGCAAAAAGCAAAATGGATGTACATTTTAATAGGGAAACCACCAACCATGGGTTTTGATATGTTTTGATCTGTTTCCCTTCTTCCCGGCATTCTTTGGGAGGTCACCCTACTTTAAAACAAACCCAAATGGACACATCGTCAACAGATTTGGGGCGAGGGCGTGACATGTAGGCTCCTGACCGATTAACTGACCCTGGCCCTTGTCCCTGTCCTGCTCCAAGAAGGTCGTTTTGCAAACACCCGCCGGGGGCTCATGCTCATGTGCCCCATGCGTGACCTCTTGCACGTCAAGCTGCAGCTGCAAAAGCGCTATGATTGGAGCCTGCCAGGGCAGAACACCCTCATTCTATGGGTCCTGGCCTATTATCAGAGACTCCATGCCACTCGATGCATCAGCAAGTTGGAGTGCCTACCATAATATGTTAATCTTCTGAATGGTGCCTCATCTGCAAGCACACTGTAGCACACCAACACTTGGAGTGCCACAAGCCGAAGCGCCATGGCATTCGACTCTGCGCTTGAACATGTCCCTCTTTCATGAAAAACAAACTACAAATAAATAACCTACATGACCTACAGTAGGAGTACTAGTCATTATATGTCATTGTCATGCTAGCCTGCTCTCTTTCTTGCCGCTGCATCTACTTCTGCAATCCTGCCGACTCTTCCTCGATCTCTTCCTCCATCGCTCCTGTGTGGTCAAGAATTCAATACTTTGTGACCTTTCCCTCCACAACTATGGATGTCACGCGTTGCAGCGCGTGTGCGTGTGTGTGTGTGTGTGAGCAATTGTGCAAGCCAAGCTATTTTGTGGCGCTTTGTGTTCTGTCAGTTCTGTCTTGTGAGTGGGATTCTTCAAGCAAGTCTCTCTTTTTGAGTGCGTAGGTTGAGCCGCTTGAACAGGGTGTCCCGGTTGACCCAGTTGACCCAGTTGAGCCCAGTTGATCCAGTTGACCCGATTGACTGTGTGTGATGCAAGTGTGGTAGTGGTAGTGGCAGTCGTAGTAGTCGTAGTAGTCGTAGTAGTCGTAGTAGTCGTAGTAGTCGTAGCAGCTGTAGTAGTCGTAGTCGTCGTCGTCGTGTAGCAGCAGTAGCAGTAGCAGCAGCAGTGGCAGTAGCAGTAGCAGTAGTCTTCGTCGTGGTGGTGGTGGTGGTGGTTCGTCAGGTCAACTGGGTCAACTGGGTCAACAGGGTCCTGAGATCTACCGTGGCACCGTGGCCGCCTGTGGGGTCGCAATGCCCTTTTTCCTCCACCTCACGTGCGGTGTTTGAAACTGTGAGGCTTTTCCATTATAGCTCTGTACCAGCCTCCAATGCTCTCATATGCTCTCATTTCTTCTCAAAGCTGACGAACATCTTCGGGCGTCGAGTGGCGAGCAATGACTGGTCAAATTGGTCCAAGTGAGCTGCGTCACCTTGGTGCACTGCATGGCTTCCTGACACGCTCTCTGATGAGATTGACGGAAAGAAGTGATCTGAGTGGACTGGAGCTGCTGCATCAGGGAAGAAGGTTGTGAAGCTGGATGCCATTGGGCCACATGCGGTGTCATGCACGTTGTGACCATCCATCAAACCGCTCGAGCTTCCCTCGTGGTGGTGTTGTCCGGTCAGATCTGCCAGCAAGTTGTTCAATGGACCCGCAGACACCAAGCAGCCAGCCTGGGCAGCAAACAAAATGACCAAAGCTTTGAAGGTCATCCTGGAAACTGAGGACTGCTGACTACAGGCGAATGTGCAATGGCAAACAAGTCCTGCTTGAGCCAAACGTAGCACATCGTAACACATCCAAAAAATAGAAACAAAAAAAAACTCAGCGTGGAGGCTTATTCCGACTTCATCACTAGCTGGTGATGCCCCTATAGCCTATTGCCCATTGACATGGCATTCAAGTTAGGCTGGAGAACGCGCGGCACACCACGCATACTGAGCCCACTTGCGACAAATCGATTTGAACCCAACCCTCGAGCGCGCGCTCGGCGCCCGCACTCCAGGCACGCGACGGCGGCACTCCTGATGTTGATTTTATTTCGTTTGGTAAAAACTCGGCCTGGGACAGCACCGCTCCGGTCTCTCTGGCTTCCCTCCATGGGGTTATATATTGGTTTTATGGTCCCAGTCCTCAATGATCCACTTGGTCGGATCACTCAGCACAGCTTCTGCATTGGCTTGGTCCAAGTCGTTCAAGATCCTGCATGTCGGTCGATGTCCATCAACGCTCAACTCCACAAATGAAGAGTTTCATTGATGCACGGCTGTATGCGCAATGGAAAGCAACCTTCCACTTGGTCAGGAAACCTTCCATCTTTGGAGGTGGCAAAAGCTGTCCTCATGGCCACACGCGGGTCCGTGCTGCCGAGAGTTGTGATGACCTCCTGAAAGCGAATTGGAGCACAAAGGTGGCCATGGCGATTGTACCTGCTCAGGTCTGCCGTGGACGTGCCACACCGTGAGTCGAACAAGACCCCTCCGTTGGCCTTTAAGCCTCGGTTGCTCGATCAGGACAATTGAACGATCAGGGCACCAGTTGATGGTTCGCTTCATCTTCGCACGGAACCTCGAGTGGTGAGATCTGCGGCTGGCTATGTTGGAATCACTGAACTGCCTGGCAAAGCTTTTGGTTGTTATTATGATAGACGTATATCTATGTTTTTGTTGTTATGTGTTGGGGGTGTTGTGTCACCACTGTATGTATGTATGTATATACAAACACATATATATATATATTCGGCTGCATCATTTAAGTTTGACTTGATAAGATCTGAATCAGCTTCGGACGCGATTCCTTTTCGCACAAGCTTGAAAGGTCTGACTCGGTCTGAGTTCAAAAGTGCTTTGGTTAATGTGACCCTGTCACTGTGGCCTACGCCTCTGCCAGGTATACGTTTCCTACCCGTACCTGGTAGACTCCCTTAAAGTAGTCAAGAGGATACTGAATGTCAGTCCTATGACTATGTGGGAGTGGAAAAGAAAATGACGAACAGCAGCAGCCATAGAGTCCCAACTCGTGTACTGCGTAAACAGATGTCAAACTCAGTGACCTACCATTGCACCGCAATGTCACTGACGAGGGGTATCAGTACTCACAACGGGAGTATTTAGCCAAGCCGACAGCCGGAATTCGTCTGGCATCATGCAGGCTGCTGCCAGCAAGAAAAAGCATCAAAGCGTAGACGAGAAATTGAAATTGACCCGCAGTACTCGGCAGACAGCTACCACACTAACATAAACTCGCTCACAACTGGAGCATCTAGCCAAGCCGACAGCCGCAATGGGGAGCTGGCATCTTGCAGACTGCTGCCAGCACGGACATGAACATCGCGAAAACTTCTAAGTAACCAGTGGTACCCGGCAGACGGCAACCGCAAAGTAAGCCTCTCACAGGTAGACACCACACAGGCAAAATGGAAATCGCTCACACCGGAGCATTTAGCCGAGCCGACAGCCACAAATCAGCTGGCATCTCGCAGGCTGCTGCCAGCATGGAAAATATCGCAGGACTGAAGGAAAATTGAATCAACAGTGGAAATCAAAAGGGGCAGTGCCAAACATTCGCTTCGCAATGTTACTGCCGAGGATATCAGCGCTCAAATCGCCTGGAGCATGTCGCCTACCCGACTGCTGCAAAAAACCGGTGGCATTCAGCAGGCAGCTGCCACAGGACATGGAGGACCAGTGGTACATGGCGGACTGCTACCACCTAAAATCATCAAAAGAAAGGCAGTGACCAGCAATAGCACCCGCATTGCCACTGCAAATTGAAAAGAAATACAGTGACCGGCAAATGCCCCCGCGTTGCCGCTGCGAAGGTACCGGAGCAAAGCAGCAACCAGCAATTGCTTCGCAATGCTACTGCGAGGGGTATCAGGGCTCAACTCAATTGGAGCATTTTGCCTAGCCGACTGCTACAAAATGTTTGGCATTCTGCAGGCCGCTGCCAGCCCTGGAAAACGAAGCGACTGGAAAATTCGATCAACCAGTGGCACACGGCAGTGACCAACAATTGCACCGCAATGTCACTGCCGCAAATTGAAATGCCGTGATCAGCAACAGAATCAAAAAGGGCGGCGCCAAGCATTCGCTTCGCAATGCTACTGCCGAGGCTATCAGCGCTCAAATCTCCTGGAGCATTTCTCCTAGCCGACTGCTGCAAAAACCGGTGGCACTCAGCAGGCAGCTGCCACAGGACATGGAGGACCAGTGGTACATGGCGGACTGCTACCACCTAAAATCATCAAAAGAAAGGCAGTGACCAGCAATAGCACCCGCATTGCCACTGCAAATTGAAAAGAAATACAGTGACCGGCAAATGCCCCCGCGTTGCCGCTGCGAAGGTACCGGAGCAAAGCAGCAACCAGCAATTGCTTCGCAATGCTACTGCGAGGGGTATCAGGGCTCAACTCAATTGGAGCATTTTGCCTAGCCGACTGCTACAAAATGTTTGGCATTCTGCAGGCCGCTGCCAGCCCTGGAAAACGAAGCGACTGGAAAATTCGATCAACCAGTGGCACACGGCAGTGACCAACAATTGCACCGCAATGTCACTGCCGCAAATTGAAATGCCGTGATCAGCAACAGAATCAAAAAGGGCGGCGCCAAGCATTCGCTTCGCAATGCTACTGCCGAGGCTATCAGCGCTCAAATCTCCTGGAGCATTTCTCCTAGCCGACTGCTGCAAAAACCGGTGGCACTCAGCAGGCAGCTGCCACAGGACATGGAGGACCAGTGGTACATGGCGGACTGCTACCACCTAAAATCATCAAAAGAAAGGCAGTGACCAGCAATAGCACCCGCATTGCCACTGCAAATTGAAAAGAAATGCAGTGACAGGCAAATGCCCCCACATTGCCGCTGCAAAGGTATCTGAATAGAGCAGCAACCAGCAATTGCTTCGCAACGCCACTGCCGAGGGGTATCAGGGCTCAGCTCAACTGGAACGTTTCGCCTAGCCGACTGCTGCAAAATATTCTGCGGACAGCCGCCACGGAACGAACGGAATGAGATGTGGTACCCGGCAGACTGCTGAATGCACCGCAAACGTAGACACACTGGCCGACAGCTGCCACAGAGTTCCCTGCAACCACTCGAACAAAGCACAGGGTGTGGTGGGTGGGAGAGAAAAACTGTTGAAGGGACACTAGACTCTTCAGGAGCGTCACTCCTTTCATCTTTTTGGCTTGAGCCGCAAGCTTCAAGGAGTGCACTTAAAATGAATGACATCAAATAATTCCTCATCACCGACCCTACCTACCTCGAATGAATGAATATATTCGGCTGCATCATTTAAGTTTGACTTGATAAGATCTGAATCAGCTTCGGACGCGATTCCTTTTCGCACATTGTCATCCTCCTGCAGGGACAGATGGCCACCCACCTTGCAACACTTCTGGGTGTTGATGCAAGTATCAAAGTTGAGCTGGCGGGCCAAAGCATAGGAAGTGTCTTCAGGCAGAGCAAGCCACTCAGGAGCAGTCAACAGAGAGTCACTGAGGTAGAGACACAAATGGCGCGGTCGTAGCCCAAAGCCTCATGCACCGTCCCGGCATGGTGGTCTCGCTGCGAAAACCAGGGTTGGCTTGCCGCCAGCGACACCAGGGCGCCCCCTCGAAGATGCCAATGTCAAACGGCTCCGGCCTTGGCAGAACAAATAAAGGTCACCGGATAGCGTGGCAACTGATGAAGCGGGCCGGCACGGTTGTCACGGGCCCAAAAACATGCCCTGACCACCCTTGCGGTTGAGTACAGCTCCCCGATCAATGGCCCGCGGCTGCTCCAGCCAATCGTACTCAATGTCAAAACCAGTCCGGCGCAACCATGCAAGGAGTATCCCAGGAAAGATGGGGGCGCAGTGTATACAATGGACCTGAACATTGGAGTGTCATTGTCGAGCCGAAACCACAAGCCCAACATGTTCTCCCGCAACAACAGAAAATCTGTACGTAGACCAGCCAAGTACAAACAGCCATGCCCCTCAACCCCTTCACGCAAAGCCAGCAAAGGCCCGAGTTGGTAAGGTACTCTTGTTCTCGTGCCAAAGGGGGAGGCATCAGCGTCACCATAAGACCAAGCAAGTCCTGGAGGAACGGGGAGGGGCGCCGCCTCCCCGCGCCAGACGGGCGCTCGTCGGGCACACACTCGGGCCAGACAGGCCCAGCAAATGAAGTCAGTGTAGGCCTGGCCACCGAAGGTGAAGACGAGGTGAGAAGCACTGCTGCAGAAGAGGGTTGCGCAGGACGTGGCTGGCACACAGTCTCACATGCAAAAAGCCCACGCCCCCGGGCAGCCATGCCCGGCTCGCCCTCCGGGCCAAGTCCCAACCAGGCCATAGCTCGCCCAGCCTCCCTCAGCGCCCCAGCATAAGACGTGAAGTAAAGGGCAAGGTCACTGGCCGTCGCAATGCCAGCAGCCGTGCACCAGGCATTGAACTGCTCCTGCTCCACTGCACGGCACATGTGCAGATCGTCCATGGCGACGCAGGAAGAGAAAAACTGTTGAAGAGTCAGAGACACTAGACTTTTCAGGAGCGTCACTCCTTTCATCTTTTTGGCTTGAGCCGCAAGCTTCAAGGAGTGCACTTAAAATGAATGACATCAAATAATTCCTCATCGCCGACCCTGCCTACCTCGAATGAATGAATATATATATATATACACACCCGCGTGCCCGAGCAGTGGGGAGGACAACAAGTCATAAGCCAAGTCGCTGGTCTGTTTCCTCCTCAGGCTCTTCAGCCTTTCCTAAGTGCAATGCCGGACTGTTTTTGCGACAAAAGCGCCCAAGTCCACCTCCCCAACAGCCTGGAAGCCTGGTACCTGACAGAGTCCAGAACCGGGCCGTTCTGCTTCATGCAGCTGAGGTGCCTTTTCCAGTGCCTGCAACCCCACAACATTGGCCCTTGTCGGGGGGAAGTGTCTCCTTCTTGGGGCTTCCCTCATTGTCATGTGCAGCGGTCGTTGGGGCCGTGTCCCTTCTGAGGTCTGCCAATGATGGCGCTGGGGTCGCTTGAAGAATCTGTGACACACAGCGACCACTGGAGTTGGTCCATGTGAGGCTGACATCTACGTTTGAGCCTTGCCTTTGTTGGCGCCCTTGGCGTTTTTGTCATTGGCATCTTGGCCTGAAATGAGTGAAATGCAAACAAATTCTGCAAGCCCGTTCTTGACTTCAAGCAGTTGTAGCAAATCAGGCTAGGAACACCCAACCGAATGCCTTGTCAAAACAACACAACTGCTACCCCGGGATAGCTGTTGAGACCAGGAGCTACGCCATTCAGGAACATCCTGTGGCTTCTCGGTTTTGCCTGAGTCTGACATTCCACAAAGCAGAACTCTGCCCATGAGCCCATGAGGCCATCCACTTACCCAAACCAAATCTGGCAGCCAAAGAAAATTGAAAGATTGCTGTGTTCAAGGCGGTTCTGTATGCCGTCCTTGATACAAGGTATTGAGGAAATGTTTTTGCAAAATAACCCTGCATGTCTTGAGGCACAGTATGTTGCTGCCTGGAATGGAGACAAGCAAAAGCGCTGGAATTGTGTTTGTTGTTCACATGCCTAAGGCTGCTCACAAACCTTTTTGCATGCATTTTGCACCACGGTAGAATGTGGCAAAACGGCTGGCAGCAACTGTGGCCCGGCCATCATTCTTGTGATTGATCTTGCTGTCCTTCTCTTCACCCTTTCCATCCCCCTGAGCGGCAGCACGTGTAATGACAGGCAGCACATGCCTTCTAAAAGCGGACTCAGCACGTCATGACCTGATGTCACATGATTCACGGTACTGGTCCGGATTCCTCGTCTATAGTGGATGGAGAGTAGGCACAATCCACAAGTTCGGTGGTTGATACGGACATTCATCAGACAGTTCGGTGGTTGATATGGCACTATCTACTCTGAACCCACTGTACCTACCAACTACTGTACCTCGGACTTCGTCTCTTCATCGCACCGCGCCTTGCCCTTGGGCTGCTCGTTGGCCTGGCGCCGCTTCCGCGCCTCGGCGATGATCCAATTGGTGGGGTCCTGCAGCGTCTCCTGGAGCCCCAAGGAAAGGCAAAGGAAGCGCGTCGGATGACGTTGGATGACGTATGAGATGACTCACGTATGACTCAACAAAAGACCGTTCTGTTTTGAGAGACCTCAATGAACCATGGCATTGAGATGGCGCCCGCTCAAAAAAGCACGCTTTAGTGCAAAACAAAAGGTGTGGCCTGCCCTTGTCGCGTTCTCGTCAACGCAAACACATCCTCTCCTTGTCCTTGGCTGTGTCTAAGTCGTACAGGATCTTCATGGCTTGATTTGGCTTGATCTCGGCCAAAACATCTGCCACCTTGCAGAACAAGGATCCGAACAACAACTGCTGGCATGCACAAGATCACAAAAAGGACCCTGTTTTAACGATTTCTGTAAGACTGTGAGCGATCTCATTTTCGCCTGGTTGAGGCGAATTGGGTCCGCCAGATTCCCGTGCTTGTTGTACCAGTTCACCGTCCTGGAAGCGCGCCATTGCACCCCACGCAGGTCCCACAAACCAGGACATCGGTTATTTTACAGTACAACGACCCCCGTGCTCTCGGACTCTCAGACATATTTGGCCGCTATCTATATACGCTCGTTTTAGCCAATGGCACATTGGAAAGCTGTGCTCGCTCTGCATTTTGCCAAGCAAACACCCAAGCAAAAAGTGCTCGGAAGGCACCCAATGGACAAGACCGTGGATGTCAACAAGTTCAGCAGGCTGGCTGACCTCTAACAGAGTTTATTACGAAGTGTCACGGAAATGGTCACCATCGAACTAAATACGGCGGTGAAACTGCACTCAGCCTGCGAGCCTGCAAAGTGGAGCAGGGATTGAGCATCTTTGAACTATGTATGTGTCACTAGTGACTTCATTAGTGAGAATCAAGCTTGCAAAACCTCGGTCGGCCGAAGGCTATCGCTGCTTGAAGCTGATTCGCTCTGTGCCTCCCTTTGCGGGAGCGTCTACAGTAGAGTCTACAGGACGAAGGTCGCTGCCTATTTTTCGGTGCGGTGGTTCCTTCCAGTGTTTCCGAAACCTCAGGAGCGCCTTGGCAGGTCAGCTTCTCGAAAGCAGTCCCCAAGATCTCGTTTGGCTTTCAAGACCTCTGTGGCAACCTGGTTGCGGCAACCGCTGGGCACTTAGTTGGTTTCCATCTTTCTGAGTATGGAGGTCAATGGATTGCAACCCGCAAGACCACAAGTGAAAGCGATCAGTGTTGAGGCAGCTGGCAGAGATGTACGGGCATGTGAGATCATGTTCCATATATATGGCACGCGGATGCATGCGCATGTGGGGAGACGCAGTCTTGAGAATCAAAACAAGCTGTCCGGATCATCGGGCTGTGTCCCCCGTGACAAGGCCATATCTGTCCACCGAACTCCGAGCGAGACTCCACAGGCGTGCAAGAAGTGTACAACCCCACCTGCTGCATCATTCTGAGTCTTTGCTTCCGCGCTTGATGCGAGCGGGAGCGCTTCTGCTCCTTCAATATATCAATGGGAATATGTCTACTCTGTTCTTGGAACTGGGCGATGATTCTGGCTATTCAGCTATCAGATGCGTTGTTCGCGTTGCCTTCTCCATCGGTTTCTCAGATTCCGTCTCCACCTGTTCGGCCAAAGGAGATGCGGCGTGCCATGTTTTGTCAAAGCACAGAGAAGGCCTTGGATGGCACAGAAAAGACCTCGTTCCATCGCCAGCTGCTCACCTGCGGTGGGCCAACAGGTGGGAAGCATCATGAAACACTCCCCTGAACAAACTGTTGAACGGCCTCCTCTTTGGCTGCGAGCTCTTTGAGAGCCTTCAACATCAGCGGCCCTTGGAACTTGCGATAGTACTTCGCCACCTTCTCCTTGGACAACTTCGAACTGCGGGACGGACGACAAGGCGACCCGTTTTCTGTTCACCACCAATGCCTTCTGAGGGTTCAAAAATGGACCAGCCTCCAACACTGACCTTAGCCTCCATAGCTGCGTAGTTATATATGTAAATTGCTGTCTGACTGAAAGTAGTGGGTGCATTTAATCAAGAAACCAGCAAACCAGCGACAAAACCACCCAAAGAGACAGCACCACAACTGCAAGCCACCCGGACGACGTCACCACTGCAGCAGTGCGTTAGTTGAATGGACAAAACTATTCAGCTTTCAGTGAATGTCGCAACCCCACTGTGGCGTTGTAACCTTATGGTATTGGGGAGTGGACTCTTTAGCCCTTCGTCCACCATCCCAACTCTGTTTTCTCTGGACATTGCTGTCCGGGGGTGCCTTCGAAATTCTGAGCCGTTTGTCAGGTTCATTCATCTATCACTGAGAGGGACTTCAATGTCGGACCTGAGGCATCACGGGGCCATGTGACCGAGGCCTACGAGGCACGATGCTACCTCTTAGTCCAGATTCATCGTGTTCAAGGGATGTGCACCAGAGATTTCTGCGTCCGTTTTCGATTCTTAAGCTCTAACACCTACAGCCACTCAGTTAGAGTTATATATATATATACAGTAATGTAATTTGTCTGCCCTTGACTCTGTAGTTTGCTGCTCTTCACCCTGTCATGCTCCACCAGTTTTTTTGGCTTTGACAGGATTCCATAGGCGCCTTCTTTTCCGCGACTACACCGCGTTCAGTCAGGTAGACCCCAAAAGTCGGAATAACGCTCCTGGTTCTCCAGCAAAGCCCAAGGCACGCCGCAGTTCTGCAACCTCTTCAGGGATGGAGTCTCCTTCGGTAAGGGTGCGCTCTTGTGTTCCCAGGCTCGAACAATGCTGATGGGGTTATCACGAAGGGTCGTGACGAGCTCCTGGATGTCCGTGACACTCCGGTTGCACACCTCGTAGGCCTTCGGCAGATTCACCCCACCCCCCTCACCGTGCTGCAGCCCCTTAAGCATCAGCGCAGGCGGTGAGCCAAAGTAGCTCAGGTGGGTGGTCCCCGCCTCCACCAGGGCCGCATTGCCCATTCGCAGAGAGACAAAGTTGCCATTGCGCGTCCAATCGCGCGCCCAGGTCCAGTTGATCAAACCGCCGTGGTGAGTTTGTGCTTGCGGCAGACATCTCGGTGGTGCATTTGCCACCTGGCGCAAGTTCCAGGTCACGATGCGCTGGGAGAACTGAATCTTATCATGTGGTTCCTTCCATTCACAGTGCTTCATCGCCAGCATCATTTCACCGTTGGGGATCTCGTCCAAGTCTGAGAAGATGATCATGGCATGATCAGGCAAATCTGGCCGCTCCTTGTCAAGCATTGTGTATTTTACAGGATCAGCTCTAATAGTACTAACTACCTAGCTAACCCTGCTAGCCCGGTAAGCGCTACCTTTTGCTCTACCTTGAGCCAACGCTACGGGGTCCATGGGGATGAGGTGAATTTCAACACCGCCCTTTACAAGGAGCTACCCGTAGGGAAGATCTCGGGGAGGATCAAATTCTAGCGACGAAGGAATCATATTAGAAATCCCTCATCAAGCTCGTGCATGCACTATACAAGGAGAACGTAGCTACCCTAATGTACAGTTTTGCCTCACTCGGCATGTGGTTAAACATGCTAGGCCCAGGTTAGTGTTAAGCATTGATTAAAAGTTCACTCTCCGACTATGGCAATCCTGTTATGGATGCATTGGGAAGTGAGACAATGAAGTGAAACATCATCTCACAGCGCGTCAGAAGGTGATCTTTATCTCAACACTCATAAACTGCGAGGCATACCATTTATGGTAGCTATTCAACATCTGCTTAAAGAAATTGTATTCCAAAACGCTCCGTCTCGTCATGCCATCCCTGCCTCAACCACTCCCACAATTCCATGTGATTGGGCCAATAGTTCTCGCCCCATGGGTCATCGCGTTGCCATTGTACTCCAGGAAAATCAAAGGGTTCCAATGGTCGATCAATAGTTCCACGAATGCTGGAAGTCGGCGGCCCAGTTAAGGGTGCATTATGTGGCGATGATGCCGAAGCGGATGAAGTTCCGGGTGGCAATGGCGGCGGTGGCACGTTTTGTACATTCCATTGCTGTGGAGCATAAGGTCCTCCTCGAACACTCACCTGCTGCTTATCCTTGCCCTTTCCTTTTACGGAAGGTTGCAACCGACTGTAAAGGTCTGTAAGCGGCGGCGGCTTCGGCGTGAGATTGAAATCTGTCGGCCTTGTATGTACCGGAATGCCACTGGCTGTATTGGGCGGCACTTTCGGTGGAGGAACCTTTGGAGGAGGCACCTTTGGTGGTGGGACCTTCGGAGGTGAAGGTTTGGCTGGACGTGGCTTGGAGATTGGTGAAAGGCCAGTTGCAGGTGGGTTGTTGGGTGCAGTTAACGGTGGCGGTGAAGTTGGGGGACCCAAGAGGTTCTTGGGGATGTTGCCACGTTTAGGTGGAAGGACACGGCTCTGGGAAATTGCTCGGGCGACAGAACCACGCGGCGTCCCTTTTGCGGGAGCGGCTGAGCCTGCTGCCGAAGAACTGCCTTGGCCCTTGCCCTTTCCAGAAACATCTCTCCATTCACCGACATCCTGTTTAGAGGAGTCACCCTTTCCTGAAACTTGTCCTTGAGCAGGAGGTGCATTCATACGGAATACCGACGAGGTATGCGTCCCTGTTACGGGAGCTGGCGGCTGAGGCACGCCTGGCGGTGGAGTCCGGTTGTCAACCCAAGTTGCAATGCGACCAGATTGATCTCGGTCTTCTTTCCTCCTCCACTGCAGCCTCGGTCGTTTGTCTGCATCTCCAATAGTCTCCATGTACATCTGCGATCGCTTCCGCGTCAACGGGGGCCTTGTTACAGGTCCTTGAGGAGATGGTGCTCCACGCTGCCCAAACTCAAGCAAGATCTCTTCAAGCCGTCGAATCTCGTCAGACGACATGTCCTGGCCACAATCGGCAAACTTGGGATAAGGCGTGGCCATGCGCTGTTCGATGTTCATGAAGCCCATCTGTGAAACTGGCTGTCCACGATCGCGTCCCTGCACACTTGCAGACTGTTGCGCGTTCCTCTGATATTGAATGTTTGCATAATTTTCATTCTGCTCTGCAAACTCACTCAAAATCTTGTAAATGCCTGTCGTGTCTCCACGAGGAATACGAATTGAATGAATATCGCCATAGACGTCCGTCGTGGGGATAAAGCCCTGGATCTTGATCTCATCTCGGCTATCGCCAATTACGGCGGCGTATTGTCGGAGTGACATAAACTCTCGGCGATAACTGATCAGAAAGTTCTCGTCGACGCCTTGCTTGAAACAGGTATGTAGGTTGTCAGCACCGCATCGAATATACGCGAGCTTGGCGAGGTCAACCCTGTCCAGTCGATCCAAATCACTGACAACCGACTTCCCTTTTGATCTCTGCTTCGCTGATCTCGTGGGTGCCGGTAATTGCAGTGACGCAAACAAGTCTTCTTGCGCTGCATCAAACGCTGTGCATCCTTCTCCGGTTAAGGAGGTAGCGAAGACGTCGTCGCGGTTGAATCGATCGAATACAT